AAGAGGTCATCGAGTCCAGTCCCCTGCCCGCATGGCAGGACCAAATACTGTCTAGACCATCAAGACCACCAGCAAGGTTCAGTCACTGCCTACTATCTCTGTGACTCAGCAGAAATAATACAGCAACAAACAGGATTTTTCAGTGGGAGCACAGCAGCATAAAGATACCATAAGGCATAAGCAAAACACACACAAGAAAAGATGGCCTATGCTGGGGTTGAGGAGGGGTTTCATTCAAGCCCTGGGTGTGGACAGCTGTCTTCCTACAGGCATTCTCCCACTTCTGTCTTTCCAGCAGGCTAGTCTGCCCCTTTAAGAACAGACATTGGGGGATTTATCAGACCCAGCTGGGAAGGGGTCAAGTTATCCCTATAAAGGGCTGAGAGAGTTCAGTTGAAGGGAGATCTTCTGGAGGGAGGTTGGCTCCTGAGACTGGCCCTGGAGCAGAGAGAGGCACCTGCAGCCTGTGTTGCTCAGGGAAAGGGTCTTGGGTGTGGTGTTAGTCCTGCCTGGGTTGGGAAAACAACCTGCAGCCCTACACAACCCTTCCTCATAGGCACTTGTGCCAGGAAAGGGATGGAGTTAACTCCTTGTGTATTATGGACCAAGTGATACTCCTGCACCCTGTCACACTCCTTTCTTTCTTCCTTCTCACTCATATCTCATTTTTGAAGCTGCTGCAGGACTAGAAGCTGACTGTAACACTGCATGTCACTGGAGCTATAACTAGCCACCAAATGCCTGACTGATTCCTTCCCGACCCCAAATATGGCAATTTTCCTCCAGGGCAAATTGGCAGAGGCCCTGGGTTTTTTTCGCCTTCCTCTGCAACGTGCAGCACGGGTCACTTGCTGGAGGATTCTCTGCACAGTGAAGTCTTTAAACCATGATGTGAGGACTTCAGTAGCTCAGACCTAGGTTAAGGGTTTGTTGCGGGAGTGGGTGGGTGAGATTCCGTGGCCTGAGTTGTGCAGGTGGTCAGACTAGACAATCATAATGGTCCCTTCTTACCTTAAAGTCTCTGTCTCTATGATGACTGAGAAGGTTATCTATTGTGCTTCATTCAGACTGCCTGTCTGCGATAATGCTGAATCTAGATACTGTGGCACCTACACCCACAGATGAAGCCAGGACCCTTACATAGGTTCAGAACAGTCACCATGTGTGGAAGTGCACTGAAATCCACTGTGTTTTACTGATGAATGCCTTGCACTGTGCCTTATCCGTTGTACAAGGACAAGTGTTTAGGTAGATTCTGAAATACAAAATATCTTGCAGTGCCGCCAGCAAAGTGTTTTGGGAGGAGGAAATTGTAGTTACAACGTCCCACCACTCAAAAGTACCCAAAATTGGAATGTTCAAATTCAAGATCCACCCAGTCTTGCTAGGCTGGTCCAGTGACTACAAATGTACTGAATTGGGATAAGGTGTCTCAGCTGACATTATATAAAAAAAACCTTTGACAGTCGGAACCAGAATTTCCACAACCTACGTACATACTATTTCAACTTCACTCTGAATCCCCCACCCCCACCACACACACACACACACTTGCATGCATTTTTCATGCTGTTTTACTGCCCTCTGCTCCCAAAGTGCAAAGCACTTCAGCTCTCCTGCTTCAAAATCACTCACTCAACCCTTTTTAGGGGCTACTTAATCATGGATTCACAGTTGTAAGGCCAGAAGGGTATTCTAACCTCCTGCATAACAGACAGCTTTCAACTGTTCTGGATAAAAGATTTTTCGCTATATCAATGTATTTTATGGTGCCATGTGGCAGAAAAGTACGCATGAATTTGGGGGAAATGTCTGTTGTGAGGGAATGTAAATTAATAAGACAAAAAAGGCATTTTTGAGCTGTGGAACTTAAAAATGGTGTGTGTTAGAGTGCCCATATTTCCCCATCTGAATATGGGACACATGGTAAAATTACTCTTATTCAAGTGAGTTCAATGCCAATCAATTGTACAAGTGTTCAAATTATCATCAAGTTGACTGAGCTGCTGTAAAAAAGAAATACTGCATAGTCAGATTATTTTTATTTACCTTCTTATCTTTAAGACTTTAGGGTTCACGCAGAGAGGGGTAACATCCCCTACTCCACCACACATCTGGGGAGCAGTGACACACACACACACACACCCGTACACCTCTCTCACACAGGAGGGGTGACCAACCAACCTGACCCTCCCTGCCCAGCACTCTCCGCCCTCTATGCCTGACTGGGCCCCCAGGACAGACCCACCTCTCCTGGTACCTGGCACCGCATCTTCCTAAGGCAACACATGGGGGGCTGAAGGGGCACGCAGGGCCACACCCAGATTTCTGCCAGGGTTCACACCAGAATGTGGCCAGCAGCAGCCTTTTGGCCCTGTGTGGGAGGGAAGGGACAGGAGCTGCTTCCAGCTGCAAGGGAGGAGGAGGGGGTGAAGGAATGACCTGGCCTGTGTCTTTGCAGAGTTCATCTCTCCATCCTCGACCCCTGTGGCTGGAAGCAGCTTGTCCGTTCCTGCCCGCAGAGTGTCAAAAGGCTGCTAACACCTCCAGGCTTCTGCTGGACACGGACATAACCCAGCCACCTCCGGCCACAGCATAGGCAGGAAGGGGTTAATCCAGGGGTGGGCAAACTACGGCCCCTGGGCTACATCTGGCCCACCAGCTGATTTAATCTGGCCCTCGAGCTCCTGCTGGGGAGTGGGATCTGGGGCTTGCCCCACTCCCATGCTCCAGCCGGGGAGCGGGAGCGGGGTTGGGGTCCGCTCTGCATGCACGAGCTGCAGCTCCACATGGCTCCCGGAAGTAGCGGCATGTCCCCACTCCAGCTCCTATGTGTAGGGGAAGCCAGGGGGCTCCACACTCTGCCCCCGTAGCTCCCAGTGGCCTGGAACTGCGGCTAATGGGAGCTGCAGGGGCGGTGCCTGCGTACGGGGCAGCATGCAGAGCCGTCTTGTCACACCTCTGTGTAGGAGCTGGAGGAGGGACATGCTGCTGCTTCCAGGAGCTGCTTGATGTAAGTGCAGCCTGGAGCCTACACCCCTGAGCCCCTCCCATGCCCCAACCCTGATCCCACTCCAACCCTCCCAACCCCTCAATCCCAGCCCAGAGCACCCTCCTGCACCCCAAACCCCTCATTCCTAGCCCCACCCCAAAGTCCACACCTCCAGCCAGAGCCCTCACCCCCACCATAACCATACCCCTACCCCAGCCCAGAGCCCCCTCCCACACCCTGAACTCCTCATTTCTGGCCCCACCCCCAGCCAGAGCCCTCACCCCCACCATAACCATACCCCTACCCCAGCCCAGAGCTCCCTCCCACACCCTGAACTCCTCATTTCTGGCCCACACCCCCAGCCAGAGCCCTCACCCCCTCTTGTGCCCCAACTCCAATTTCATGAGCATTCATGGCCCGCCATACAATTTCCATACCCAGATGTGGCCCTCGGGCCAAAAAGTTTGCCCACCCCAGGTTAAGCCCTAAGGATGCATTGTGCACCAGTGCCCAGGGAACCTGACTGCAAGGGCTTCAGCAAACCTGGCCAGAGAGAGGTAGCTCAGCAGGGGAGGATACCTAGGGGCCGGAACAGCCCTGTACTCCCTGGAAGCAAGACCCAGGGTTGGGTGAAGAGAGTGCTAAGCCCCTGTCCGGGGGGCTGTTGTGGAGCCTGCAGGTTCCCCCCCCCCATCCCGCTACTCCAGAGCTTAGCTGAGGGGCAGAAAGATTTCCCTGTGCCAGCACTGTGTGGGACTTTGGCACATGCAGGGCTTTGCTCTTCCTGGCCAGCACCCTAGGCCAGAAGGTCTTGGGCTTTTCCGGGACACTGACCCAGCCAGAGGCAGGGTCGGGGGAAGGAGGAGTCTGCCTGCCAGGCTGTTGGTGAACTGAGCGCTTTGATCAGGGGCTAGTTCTCCATACAGTGCTGGGAGTGGGACGCGCCCCACCAGGAGGGGATATAGAGGACCCGGGGAGCTGGGTGGGGCGAAGGGAAAAGGTAGGGAGAGGAG